AGCGCGGCAGCCATGTAAATGTAAATGAAGCCGCGATCATTTAAATCACGGCTTCATTTGCCTTTGCCAAAAAAACAAATCTACATGGTTCCATCGACGGAGCCATGTAGTTTAGACATACCCAGGGAGAAAAGCTATTTAGCACAGATGGTGTGTGCGTGTTATGTAATTTTCAGTTTGCTTGTAGTGTTGGAAAACCTGGCCAAAGAGTGTCCCTTTAAACACAGGCCATATTAATTGGTCTAATCAGCAGAGTTACATGGGGATGAATCTGTCCCAGACATGCCTACAGCCATTTGAGAATCGCTGGCAGTTATCAGCTGCCAAAGTGTGTTGTACACTGTTATCCTCTCACTACACTTTAGTAGGCCGATCCCTAGGATCAAGGAACTGGTGATAGCCCAGTCTTGAATGGAAATTAGCAGGTATTGACTGATTCAAGGGCATTATTGGTAGAGAGACACACACACACATCAACTGTGAAAACAGGCCAAGGATATAACGGGGACATACAGACACACATCAGCTAAATGCAATCAATGAAGACAGGCCATGGGCATGTGTGCGTCCATATACTCTCTCTCAGCTAAGCCCAAGTGATGAAGACAGACTATTCACACTGGTCCTGGCAAGCAGCCTATAAATCAGCATGTATCCCTATCCCGGTATTTTATATTGTGCAAATACTTGTACTCAACAGGGCTATTTCATGCGTGTCTTGCTGCAGCACACTCACCAAGTGTTGTGCCATTCCGTGTGCTGTAAGACATGAACCATGAACAGTTTTGCTGCTCTTGGCAAAGGGGAGTTGAAAAAATATTTATTTTGTTGTAGAACTAAAGTGCTTATCTGACGTTGCCTTTGTTTTATTGAGTGGGTGCTTCTCCCTGCTGATAGTCACCGTTGGTTGGATTTTGCACTTTTTAGCAGTGATGCATGGAAGAAACGCCTCACCTTCAGCGGATGCCATCTCCAGCCCTGGGGAAACTGATCATGGCTGCCTTTCTGCTCCAGTGGCAGAGAAGGGTAGGGCCTGGGCAGGACTCAAACCCATAACCCATACATAACTCCCACGTTATTTATTGATAGTATGACAATGCCTAGTGGGCCAAGCTGAGAGAAGGCCCCATTGTGATGGATACTGTACAAACTCATAGCAAGAGACAGTCTTTGCCCCCAGGAGCTTACAGGCAAAATATACAGAGGGATGAAAATATGAAGGGAGAAGAAAGGGATTTGACATGCAGTAAAGCCAGGAAAGAAACATGGTCTTCTGTCTTCCAAGCTATCCACTAGACCAGTGTTCCTCAGCCTTTTCGATACCAGGGACCAGCTTGCTGCCTTCCTAAACTGTGTCCGAGAGATCTCTGGGACCAGAGCTCTCTGCAGAGTTAGTCACAAAATAAGCATAGATATTAAAATTCTAACTCTAACAAGTGTCCCTCGATTTGATTTGCTTTTGCAAGATGTCAGAACATGTTGTTAGCAGAGCTGAGTGGGTCTAATATTTGTCTTCCTTTTACAGTAAAACCTGTGTTATCCGGCACACGTGGGAAGTAGGGCATGCCAGTAACCTAAAAATTCTGGTTATCTGAGTTGGGGGGCAGGGGTATGGGAGCCGTGTAGGGTCCGGGATGTGGCCTGCTGGGGGGGCCACGAGCT